TTTGGCTGTGTGGATCACAACAAACTGTGGTTGAATCTGAGAAGAATAGGAATCCCAGAACACTTGATCGTGCTAACACGAAACTGATACTTGGACCAGGAGGCAGTCGTCAGAACAGAGCAAGGAAACACTGCATGGTTCAAAATTGGGAAGCATGTGAATCAAGGATGTGTCCTATCTCCATATCTTTTCAATCTAGATGTGGAACAGATTATCTGGGAGGTTGGGCTCTATGAGAAGTGTGGCATCAGGATTGGAGGTAGACTCATCAACAATCTGCATTATGTAGATGACATGTCCCTGCTTGCTGAAAATGAGGAGGACCTAAAGCGCTTGCTGCAGAAGGTCAAGGGCTACAGCCTTCAATATGGATTGAAGCTCAACATCAAGAAAACAAAGAACTCACCACTGGGCCGATTGGCAGCATCATGATAGATGATAAAGAGACTGAGATTGTTGACAGCTTCAGTTTGCTTGACTCTACAATCAATACTCTTAGTACCAGCAGCCAGGAAATTAAAAGACGAATTGCATTGGGAAAGTCTACTGTCAGAGATCTCTCCAAGGTATTAAGGAGCAACGATGTAAGTCTGGAGAGGAAGGTGTGCCTGATACAGGCTTGCTATGCATCAGAGAGCTGGACAATGACTAGGGATGATAGAAGGAGAGTTGATGCCTTTGAACTTTAGTGCTGGAGAAGAGTATTGAATATATCATGTACTGTTAGGAGAACAAACAGGTTCGTCCTGAGGTGAAGCCAGGCTGCTCCTTAGAGGCAAAGATTCTGAAGCTCTGTCTGACATACTCTGGACATGTTGCAAGGTGGGATCAGTCCTTGTAGAGGGACGTCATGCTTGGGAGGGTGGAGGGACAGCACAAGAGAGGAAGACCCTCAATGAGATGAATTGATTCTGTCACTGGGGTAATGGGGATAGGTGTGTCAGAGACAATGGGATTGACAAGAGATAGAGAAGGGTTTAGGACATAGGGTACATAGGGTTGCTGCAAACGACTCAAAGGCACATAACATAACAACAAGAATACTCGTTGAACTGACAAAGAAGATTAATCAGAACTGGCTTTAACAAGCACTGTGGCATTTGGACAAGAACAAACTGGGAGGAGGGTAGAGAGAATAGTGCAACAATGAATGAGTGGAAGCCCAAAATCTCTGTAAATGTTTATGAAAATTAATAAAATATAATTATAGGAAAAAAAAAAAAGAATACTCGTTGAGTTGGAATCAACTCATAGCTGACTCACCACCAGGTGAGTAACACGAGAGGCTGTTCAATTGCATGGGAGGAGACTGTCCATCTTTCTCCCTTGAAGCAGCTGGTGGCCTTGAACTACCTACCTTTGGGTTGGCAGCACAACTCCTTATTGCCACTCCAGTTTACCACTGTGACTACATCTCCTTCAGCTGAATAAATGTTAAATCATTTGTAAATTGCTAAGCAAGTACAGTAGCATGGATTAAGCTTCTGGTTCAACAAGAATAAAATGTGGTACAAATGAAGAGTTAATGGTTGTTCTGTGAATACCGATTGTTACTTTTGCATTTGACATTTGGATTGAGGAAAACAACGACTCAAGAACTCCCAAAATAATGACTTACAGAATACACTGCACAGTAGGTCAGCTGCATTCCAGCCCCTCCTCCCCAAATAGCTTGAATTTAGTATAAACTAAAGCCCAAAAGTATGACTGTATCCCATTGGGCATTTTGGAATCTGAATCCATGAGCTCAGTGCCTAATTTCTGTGGAACCGCTGGCTGCCTACGATTTAAGAGCTCAGTTGGTTAAAGCACAGAGCAGATAAGGCCTCAGTCATAGGCCTGGCCTCTTTAATGGCCAATTATTTTCTCTGTTCTCTGTCCCTGACCCCAGCTTGTTGTGTTGCATATTCATGACCTTGGTCGTAAAAATGGCCCAGGCCAGAGAGGGAATAGATGAGTGCAAATCCATCACCACAGCTACTAACAAAACAAGCACAAGCCCTGTGAATGGAGGGCGAGAAGTGTCCTCTGGTCCCCAAAAGAGGTTTGAAAAAACAAACAGGAATAGGCACACAACACAAGGTCTGGTTCAAGTCACCTATCAAACAAGGTAGGCATGGCCTTACTTGAGCTTATTGGATGTGTTATTGATCTGTGTGGAAGTTTCATGATTTTCACACATGTTGCCTTGAAAGCTACTGATCTATGATACATAGGTGTTTTATAACCGTATATAATTCAGGACACAAGGCTATTCTACGTGGAAGGAATGTACAGAGCAGGATCAAACTTGTTTTACATCTATTTTGTGTACACATTTATTTGTATGCTGTTTCTTCAACTCAGGAGTTGAGATGAGGGAGAAATTCAACTAGTGACAAGAACATTCAAAACCTGAATTCCTGGCTTGATGCTGCATTCTTTCTTCCACTTAATGTTATTATCTGTTTTGAAAGTCATTAGAACCCTTTCCTCTAAATATCATGAAAAGTTCCATAGACTTCTGGGTTCTTTGTAAATTATAACATCGCAATAATAGGGACTGGCTTCCTAATTGCTCCAAAAGTTAGGAAGTTTATTTACATACTGGAGTCTATTTGACTTTAATGAAAGAGCAGTCACTACTAAAATGGTCAGCTGGAAGGATTCATTTCCTGAAATAGACAAATCCCTTTAAAAACACTGTCCCTTTAGAAATCTCAGATATTGATTTCACTAATATATAATCTAATATTACAGCCCTAGAGCAAGAACTCAAGCTCTATTTTATATCCCACCACTGACTCACGGTAAGATCTTGGGCAAGTCACTTGACCTTCTTATATTTCAGTGTGTCCAGGAGCCATAAAACTGAGCAAAGCATGACCTCATTACAGACCCAACAGACTTGAAAGCTAAGATGTTCTTTGATACATGAAAGAGTCACCAAAAGGGAAGGCTAGCTGGTAAATGATGAAGAATAAGAATAATGCATTTGACTACAAGTAAAATTACCCCCCCCCCTTGTAGAAGTGTACAGTTTTCAGCAAGTCATGGAAAAAAACCCCACCCGACTTCACTGTAATTTTATTTGGGAAATAAGGTTAAAAGATAGAGGGAAAAAATTATTTCAGAATATGCCTGAATCACAAATGCAATGAATTAAAAACTACTGAGCTGGTGAATCCTTGATAATGGAACACATTTCATCCCTAGGCTTTTCTTTCCCTTCTACTTACACTATGAATGTTTTTAAATGCATTTAACGAAGGACTAGCTCACAAGCCTAATAGAATACACATTCCCTCGGGAATTAAGTGGTTTTAATGATGTATTTGGCCATTTAGATTTATAGCTCACTGGATTATTAAATATTATTAGTCTCCTTTCCTATATATCCTCATTTATAACTTTTGTTAATATGTACACTTGATTCCTACTTAACTTTTTTTTTCTATAAGCAAAGCGTTATTACCACTTTTGTAGGTTTCTAAAGGGAATGATGTCCTTCACAAAGGGAAGCCAGTCCCATTCTTGAGCCTGGGACTGCAGCTTTTTTTTTTAATAGAAAACAACCTTGCAGTGCAGGTTCAGCCGTTCTGCAGTATTCCAGAAGGAACACCAGCAAGAAGACAGCTTCATTAAGTGCTGATATACTGCCCGAGGTTACCTTTAAAAGTCCTGGAGCATTTACCAGAGTGCCTCAACATTTTACATTCTCTTTAAACATCTTTCTGCAAATTTTCTCAAGGCCACGAACAAGTATTAACTAAGCAAAGCCCTCTCTAGCACACTCTGTCAGTCAAACACTTAGCCACGTTCTCTGGAAGAGTAAGCAAATGATAACTTTGCAACTGTTGCCCGGGCCCTGTAAACAAAAGATCAAATTCTGTGTTCTGTCTTGGCAAGGAAAGAAACTGCAGCATTATGTCACGGTTTGTTTTTTTTTTTAAAGCAAGTCTGGGCTTCAAATTAATCACTGAGATTTCCTTCTCTACTTGACAAAAAAAAAAAAATTGGAAAGTTTAGTAAATTTAAAGACACTATTTTAAAAAGGAAGAGAATCAATTCTTGGTTAAAATATACCCTAGCTACACAGGAGAGGCAATTACGTGTGTTACAGCTATACTACACACAGCGGATATTATTTTTCGCCCCCTGAAAGCTCTTGTTTTTGCATATAGATTTGTGAAGAAAGATTCTTATCTTTTTCAAGACCAGAAACTGATTCTTTTTTAAAAAAGGACAAAATTGTTTTAAGGTCTATAGACGTTACCTAGGCATATTAATATCATTAAATCTAGAGCCAGAAGGTACAGCATTCCCCGTACGAGAAAGAGAACAAAAACAGTTAAAGGCAGAAATATTACTCAAGCATACCAAGGATTATTTAATATAAACGTAAAAATAGTAAAATAAGACGGGCTATGCATACACGAGCATGACATGAACTCAGCAACTGAGGACACAGAAATTCGCACAGACAGGACTGCAAAGGAAAACGTGCGATCCACTTCCTCCACGAGGAAACCTGTAGCCCAGCCTTACCCCCTCCCGGCCCCTGCAAGGTGTGCGGCCAAATCCTGCTGCACGTCCTCGCAGCTCCCCTAACTGGAGGAGCGGGGCGAGGTACACGCGAGATGCAGCTGCACGCTCAAGTCACTGGAGAAGCTGGGGTGTGGGGGTCACACTTAACAGGGGTGAGCAGGGCAAAGCTGCCCTCGCCCAGGGCCACTCCAAGGCAGGGGCTGTGCCGGCGCCGGCCCTCGCTCCGAGGACCCCCGGGTCGACACACCGACACCGCCGCCGCACGCCTCACTCCGGCTCCCGCCGACCCCCTCCCGGCTTCGGCGGCGGCCGGCGCGCGCACGGGGCGGTGGG